TTTGATTTTTACTGGGTTTCATATACGTATTACAGAAAGAAGAATTTAATTCCAAAGCAAGAAACTTACTGGTGGAAATGAGGTAGAACACGCCACTGATTTTAGTCCTCATTATTCCACCGCTGGAAATCAGTACAACTGTAATTGCAATACACATCTAGGATAAGAAGCTACAGGCAAATATCATTCATCCAGAGAAATTGGTTAGATCAAAGTAAATTCATTTTTGCAATTGTTCTTACCTATGAGAGCGTTCCACAGTTGTGATTGAGGTGGTCTAATGTAACTCTCAAGACCGTAGTTGCTGCCCTTACATCAGCTGGCACATCTGCAAGCTCGTTGTCCTGTTTGGGGACAAGAAGACAGGAAACAGATGCTTTAATCAAACACACATATTGCTCATGCTTCAGTATTTATACTAGTCTGTCTGTATGAGGCATCCAAATATTTTATTGACAGATGCTCCTTACACTTAAACCACTGACAATGACAGGATGGAATAAGTATTAAAGTCATATTTACAATATACCCATATCCCACTATACTAATCAGAAAGTTAGTATCCATAAAAATTCATACTGGAGCCAACTACTGCCTGACAAAGTAAGCTCCATTTCAGCAAAATCAAACTTGCTAAGTAAAATTGTTTTAATATGTATAAAGTTCTGTTTGTGTCAACAGTTAGTTAAGCAGAGGTCAAAGCAGCACTGTTGAGGAACTTGAGTTTCCTACAAGGGCTGCATGCACAATCGTTGATATTCTAACAATACAAAGCTGCTAGAAAGCTACATTCCATCAGTGTTTAGATGTCAGCTGCATATCAGGTATTCCTCGTCCTGACCCACTTCTTGTCTTTTAGCTTGTTCTCCAACTACACATGCAGGATGAAGCTTTGTATAAGAAGGTCTGGAGATAGTCTTGTTATTAGAATAAAGCATCAACATTGGTCTGTAAGCTACAAATATCTGTTAAAAACACCACATAAAAATACATACACATGTATAAGTTATACAGGGGAAAAAAAAGGCAAGTGAAGAAGCTCAACATAGTTACAAGAAAACAGTGAAATGGAGAAGCAAATAGGAAGATACGACCAAATTCAGAAGCTTTTCAGTAGAAGAACATTTTGAGGCCTCAAGTAACTGCAAGTCACCAGGTGGCTCTTCTACATACCAGCAAGTAGGTGGCAGCTGAACCACAAAACTGTTGCAGGGATTAGTCCTTTTGAAGAAAGTCTTATGCTGTACAGCTGGGTAAGATGCCAGTGCTAACCCAAGAGATTTACAAATTACTTATGCCTTGCCCCAGCAACCCCTTTCTCCCAAGGACACGGGGCACTATTCTAAAACACAAGATATATGGAATCCAGAGTATTTGTAACTGCTTACAACTCGGTCCTCTAACAAGCTATGGACCTGCCCCTCAAATTTATCTCAGGTGCTAATTAAAAGGTGCAGCTGCATCAAATGCAGGGAAGCTTCACACCCAGTAGATAAATAGAAGATACACGTAGTTTCCTCCAGGCTTTTTAGTTTAGCTTGGCAGGTCAGGGAAGACATAACATTAATCACTGTAACCAGGCTTGTTTCTTCAGGAAAGTCTTTAGATCACCACCCAGAACTTCCTTATTACCAGCTTGACAAAAAAAAATCCCAAACAAACAAAAAACCAAACCCCAACAACCTAGATCAAGGTATAAATCCTGGCTAGTAACATAGACAGATGCTTTATTTACCTCCCCTCATTACAGACTTGACTTTTTAAAAACGTTTTTCAGCAGCAATACTGCAGTTACGTCCGAGTTTTATATATAATCCCTAGCATTCCAAAGAGCTAATGTTCGCACAGCCACCACATTATGGCAGAGGCAATAAACATTTTCTAAAAGCATTTAAGGAATTTGTGAATTCATGTAAAATACGAGTTCAATACAGCTGAAGACCAATCAACTATGATAAACAAGCTATAAGGTTTTTTTATTAAATGGAATCTAACCAAAGAATTCAAACAATCCACGGGCCTTCGAGGCATTCAGCATACTTGACAATTGCTACACTTTTTCTATGCCCTTGCAGAGAACGTGGCATATAAAGTACTACTCCCCATCGGGCAGCTTCGGTTTTCAGGCTAACCTCTTCAAATAATTTATTCATACATATAAAAGAAGAGGAATTTATTGCAGTATAAGAACAGTGCTCTGGTCATCTGAAAATGTTGCTCAGATTTTTGGAAACCGACCCCAATTATGAATTTAGTTAAAATATCTGAGGCAAGAGATTACTTTTTAATTGGATTGCACTGGTGCTTTTTTCTTCTATACTTTGAATGAATACAACCATTAAAAACCAAAAGTGTACTTAATAGCGGATGGCCACAGGGAATATCTCTATACACTGACCTACATAAATGGCTGTTCTAAATCAGATAAAACTTAGCCTGAAGTTTTATACCTTTCTCCAACAGCCTCTAAAGTACAGAAGTCTATAAGATAAAGACACCAAATCTAAAATACAGCTTCTTCAGTTCTGTGTACTGGCAAGCAGAACAGTAAATATTACGCCAGCAACCACAAAGGCAATAACAAAATCCAATTATCAGTTAGCTTTAAATTATTTCTGGACGTATTACATCTTACCAGCCAACATCAGAACTGGAAGACAGTAATCCTGGGTCTGTATTTCCTGAGATGAGTCTTACCTGAATGCAGGAACCTGATCTGGAAAAGTTATTTTTCCAATATCCTTCAACCCACAGCAGTGAGAGTCCTTCTGACGTTATTACGGCTTTCTTGAAAAGAGATGCTTCCAGAGGAGAGAGGACCATGCAGCTCAAACTTCTCCCCCAGGACCCACAACCTCTGCCATGACTGTTGGTAAATGACCCCAATCTGAAGACACCTGTGTCTGCAGCCAGCCTTAAAGAACCAGTATCATGTCTTACTCAGAGCATATTGATTTAATTTGCAAAATAAATTTAAAGACTTCCCAAAGCACAACAGCATAAACATGAATTTCAAGAGCTTTTGTACCATGACTTACATAGAATCCAATCTCACTCACCTTTTAGGAGTCTTTATTGTTCTGGAAACAGATAAAAATGTTTTGAAAGGGCTTAAGATATTGCAGAAACAAAGCAATATTTAATGGCTTGTTCTCTCTTTCTAGTGTCAGGTACACATCCCTGTTTTTTAGAGCCCAGATTATTCTAACTGCAGAGTCATAATACGCATATCAATTCGACACACTCAGTAAACTCCAAGTAAGCACTCTTGGACTTAATTGCAAAATTTGCATCAGCAAGTATTGCCACCTCTAGTAGGCAGCAACATGAAGCAAGTCCTTCCTCAACAGGAATTACTGGAGTGTGTCTTCATTCTCATCCAATTTCAGCATGTCACACAATTTCAGCATGCTTTAGTTAAGTTCCTATAATCATATCATGTCATACAACCATAGGGTCACAGGCTGATGTTATTTGAAAGGAAGTTCTAGAGGTCTCCAGTCCCCATCCCCCCTGCTCAGAGCACGGGTAGCTGCGAGCTCAGACCAGGCTGTTAAGGGCCTTCTCTAGATGTAGGGATGAAAAGTACAATCTAATCCTTACCTCTGTCCCAGGGCAGATTAGCTAAACTATTGCTTAGTGTAATATAACCCTGAATTAGAAGATGGCATAGAGAAGAGAGTTCTAGCTTCTTCAGGTTTTCACTGTTGGTCATTTTAATCCAGACTTATTAATGTTTTTCTCCTTTGGATTTTCTCTAAACAGTTCAAATTGTTGGATTCAGTGGACAACACTTAGAAATAACCTGCTTACCAAGAGGAAAACCAGGAAACTATCCATAACCTTGATTTCTACAGGTGAATTTCCTAAAGGAACTCTATTTTGGATTTTTCGGAGCAACTGCAGTAAAGGATTATTTTCACCACAGAAGACATAAAACACAATTAGGTTTCTTTATTATACATGACAGTGGGGACACATAATACTGTATACTCACTTTCTCACTTCAACTCTGACTGAAGTTTTGATATTTATGTGATGGATATTTTGATTCCAACATGCATCTCATTAGCTTTCTCCAAAGCTACAGGTACTTTTCCCTAGTAAAGGGATCAATCAGTCCAGCCAGTTGGCTCACTCAGTAATTGCTGTAAAGGCCTCTTAATTCTTACTGGGAGTAGCAGTTAATTTATTCTTGGTTGGAGAGAAATATGGAAAGTAATTTACTTACATAGCATTTTAACTGAAACTTTTAGCTTGCAACGTTATTAAGCATCATCTTATTATCACCTGTCAAAATACTCTATCAGCATTTAATTTGCCTCTGATTTATTATACCCCCATAATAACAACTAAGTGGTATCTTGTGTGTGAGGTATTCTTTTATATATATGGCTACAGAGAGTAATAGAAGAAGCATGCACTCATGGAGATCTGGAAAATGCCAATATTGGATTTCCGTGAGAGCGGGAGGGAGGGAAACAAACCCAAACAAAAGAAAAATCCAGACCAAACCAGTTCCATCCATATTTCTATTGTAATTCACCAATATCAGGTATCATGTACGTTTTCCTCTTCAGCCACATCAAAATGCCATCTGAGTGTGACAGTATGTAGACTGATTACATTGGAACAATATAAAATGAACACATTAACATTTTTGCCTGTATTATTTGTTAATGAAAATATAAGTTTCAATGCATCTTCATTGATTTTGCTTCAGTATACTTGATATGATCTCTTGCTGTATTTTAAAACAGTATACGAACTAACAGGCACAATCCGAAGCAAAGCAAGGTACCAAGCAGTATTCCGTCAACAGAGAAAGTCTGCTTCATGGCAAAAAAAATCTTCTGAATGAAACCTACTACAAAAACTAGTCACCTGATTCAGGATGTCCCCGAACCTTGAAAGTTATCACTACATAGACACTCTGTTTCTATGACAATGTTTGTCCACTGTCAAAGAAAGAAAGGACTCTCCGCTATGGGCCCTTCTGTCTAACATGTGTGGTTCTTCTTTTGCAGTCTTTCCCAAAACACTATATGCTCATTTGTCCGAATGTGATGGGATGTAATTATATTACTGTAGAGACAAGGAGAAAATGGGACCTTGTATATGTTAAACAATGAATAACTAGGTGGAGGTACTATTTGTATTCCCTTTGCATTAAGACAGAGCCCTACATAAACATCTTCCAAATGGATATATTTTATCATTACAGAAGCATTGACAATTTTTGAAGCCAGGTCTCCAGAAAAGATATAGCCAGTTCCTGAACAAAAAGGATAGTAATTGTCACCTGGGTATTCTTCTTCTGATATGTACCATTTACTGTTTTTATTCCGAATAGGCTTATGCCCTCTCATAAGACAGCCAGTGAAATAATTTTGTGGAGGAGGTGAAAGAGGTCTGAGGAGCTTTTCTATTAGGTATATTGTATTAACAAATACATCACTATCTGTCTTCATAACAAAGCTCGCACCACTGCAGTAAGAGGCAACCCACTTCATGCCCATCAAAGTTTTAAGAGTTAAGTTATAGTAAGTGTCCAGGAAGTCTTGTTGAATAATATCGTGATATTGTTCACTTTCTCTCAGTAGGACCTCATCTGGACCTCTGCTCTCCACACCCAGCATAAACAACCGAACAACCTCAACTCCTTGAACCACAGATTCATTTCCCCAGGTTTTTCTGATGGAACTTCTGCGCTGAATTTCAGCAGCTGTAGTTGCTATTAGCAATATCAAGAAAGGTGTTTTATCTTTACACTTCTCTTTTTCATTAATAATGAATTTAAATGACCATGTTGAAGCAGACCTGTTCTTATTCTCAATTTTCACTTTTTCAGCTGGTAGTTCTCCATTTTCTTCCCATAAAAATTTGTTCAAATTTTCAATAATGTTTTTATGTAAAATATTTTCACTTCCCATCTGAAGATGACCATACTTTCTGGTGAGAAGAATGTCTTTTTCTTCTGAGTCATCACTGTTTCGAACTTCACTTTGGTTTAGAACAGCAAAGTGATCAGAATTCAAAAAACAGGAAATCAAATATATTGCTGTAAAAATGATAGAGGCCATCAGGAAAACATTTCTTTTGGCACAATCCCAAGGAGAGGAGAAGAATCCACTACCGTAGATCATGTTGGCAGCTTTGAGAGGATGCACAAAACCCCTATTTCTTAATTGGACAGATATTTTGTCAGAAGAACAGTTAATTTATTATAGTTTTCCTCAGTGATACAGGAAGAAAAAAGCAATCTGCAGGCATCTGATTCTTCAGGATTCCTTTTTTTTGTAATTAAAAATATCCCATTATTTCATCTTAGAATAAATTTTAAATATTTTCATAGAAGAAAAAAAATCTTTAAAAATATTCACTATTTCAATTTCAGGCTTTTATTCCTAAGAGAAATACAGCATGATATAGTAAGAAATAAACTAATAAATAAATGCTACAGTAATAAATAAATAAACCTAAAAAAATACAGTATTAAAAATAATAGGCTTTTTTCCAAACAGAACTTACTCAGATATATATTTAAATATTGGAATATATGTGAAATATAAATGTGAATTCAATCCATTATTAAAATCAATCTTTTAATGTTTTGATATGCAAAATGTTTGTCAGTCTCTCAATATTGTCTTCAAAACTAATAGCAGGATACTGAACGTGAGAGGTATAGTAGAATGCAGACTATATATTTTATTTCAAATGCGTACATTTATGAAAACACTCTAAAAAGATATAAAAACTGTAACTGATATTCCAATTGCTACAACATTCCCTTCTAGGGAAGGAATGAAAATGGAAGAAAGATGGCTTAATGTCATGTAAGCTTTAAAAAATGTGAGTGTGTAACTGAATAATCCAAAGGTAATGAAAGATTGTGATTGATTATGGATTCACAGCCTTGGAGATTATTGTGATAAATCACATGGCAGGTAATTTTGACCATTTAAAAGTTAGATACCCTGTTGAAAGTGATTGTCTAGGCTGTATAAATGCTAATGCCGACAGGTAGCATTTCCAGAAGCAAACTTAGACATCAAAAGATAGGTGTCTTACCTGTGTGAAAGAGATGAAGTGCCTCCTGCCAGCATCTACCTCTGTAAAGAATACTTAAGACAACTGGCTTAGGCTAGATCCATACATTTTAAATGGCTTCAACTGAATGAGCTGAGTCCCATCCTTCCAGACTGCAAAGACAGGTAAAATATATATACTGGAACAGTGAAAATACTGCATCTTTGGGTAGTTTTTTTGGTCATTTCCATAACTGCTAATTCTCACTTCCTCCAACCAAGTGATAAAGAAATTTATCTAAGCCTTGGAGACGCACCACAGTTTTTAGGGAGAGGGAGATAATCACATCTATCCCAAATACACTACAAGCAGGTAACACCCAAGAATGCTATCTGGAAAAAAGTGCAACTATATTAAAATGCTTTTCACAAACTGGGCTCTGAACATTTCCTTCATGTATTCCAAAGTGAGTTGCAAAAGTACAGTAGGTCAGGGTTTTTCAGATTTTTTGTGCCAAAACACTATTTGACAGATGAAACATATAGCTCACCACCAAACAGCAAAATTGAACAGTTCTTACCATTACCTTTGAAAGTGCAGATTCATCCTAGTCATACAACCATGGTGTTTTTTGGAACAGATTCTTCAGTAGTTTCCTGCTGCTTCACAAAGAAATGGCAGATTCAAAAGGGCTGAAAAAGAGCCAGGGATCCTATCTCTCTGTCCATGGAGAACCTGAGGACAAGCTTACAGGCCCTTGAGGTTCTATTCTAAGTCTCCTCTAGAAGAACTAGGAATTGAGATAAAATGCACTGGAACATTCACCATTCTATTTGAAAGGCAATAAACACTTGTAGCAATGAAAAGACAGTCTATAAAGTGAGATTGGATTTAACCACTTTAGAATAGGCAATAAAAATGTAAAGTCAGAAATGAACTTGTGCACAATTATAAATTAATCTGATAAAATAGATGTTGCTTGATTTGAATGCAAATGTGTGGTGATTACCCTTGGCGAGCATCCAAATTCCCATGCAGCTGCTCACATAATTCCCCCCCTCCTCAACATGACGAGGGGAGAAAATAGGATAAAAAAGCTTGTGGGTCAAGATAAAGACAGAGAGACCACTTACAATTAAAATACATTCGGATAATGAGAAACTATCTAAATGTAAAAACACAAATTAAAACAATACACCCCTCTCCATCTTTTCTTGGGCTCAACTTAACTCATTACTTGCCCCTCCCAGCAGCAAAGGGGTTTGGGAGTTAAGGTCCCTCCTGCTGCTCCTCCTGTTCAGAAAAATGTGCCCCAGTGTGAGCACTCCAAGGGCCTCAGTTCCTTCAAGAAAGAGCCAACTGCTCTAGGTTTGAGAGAAAAAGGGCATAAGCATATACTATTATAAACTGGTCAATAGTTAAGTAACACATCTCACATGTATCACACCCATCAAATATTAAGAACAGAGTAAGTAATAGCTTCACTTTAGTAATCTTCCTTCTCAAGTTTTGAGTTCTTTAGAAACTCTATATTTTGACATACTAACATTTTAAATATCCAGGCTCCAAAAATCAATGTAAATATAAAGCAATGTAAGAAGTAACATAGGCAGTAGTGCTTCAGAAGGTGGGAGGTATTTCTGTATCCACTAATAGCATTGCTGCTATTTGAAATGTGAGAACTTTAGCACATGAAACTATGAGAGCAAAAGCCAATTTTCAATGTTATAAATGTATTTCTGCATGACAATGTTCTTGATTAAGCTAAAAACATTTTGTCAAAGTAGTTTCTGACTTGTTGGTTTTAACAGTGCAATTCTATTATATTAAATCATAGTCCCATTGTGGAAAGAATAGGAACTTGTAAGAAGACTTTTCTAACAGCTACAATATTTATTGCTTCAAGTTTGATAGAGTTATTACAAGATTAGCAGAGAATTCATGCTGCAGAAAAGCAAAAGGCAACGAATATGATGCTTTTTGTTGCCACTCCTGTTTATCTTATCTGTTCTTATTTATTTAAAAAAGACAGACTTGACAGCTCATGAGTGAAAATCTACCCCACCGGGTTCTAATTCTACCCTATCTCATCACAGATTTTTGGAAGAATTTCAAAATAAGGACAACATACCCTCGCGTTCTAGCAATGGTTTGATATCTTCCCAGCTTCTTGAAGTAGTGAGTTTTAAAGTCCAGTCCTTCTTCCAAGGGCGTCACACAAACGGGAAACTTCAAAATAATCTTTTGAGGAGATGGTATGTGCATTTGAAGATGCAAACTAGAGGTGGCCAGGAAGCATGAGATAGTTAATTTAAAATTGCTAGTTGCTAAACATGTCACAGTATCTTGACTACTTTGTCTCAATTTAGTTAAGCTGACTTTTAGTCACATTGACTAAACATACATGAAAGGATGACCTGATCCCTTTTACCATTACAATTTGGCATCCCAGAATACCCAGGCAATTCTACTATCATTTACACATACAAACTCATCCAAATGTGTACTGCTGAGGATTGAGTTGAATCAGTGATGGAAGAAGGATGTGAGGAAGACAGAAATTTTTCTCTTGGTATGTACTGTTGACAAGATCTGCATTCAGTTATTTCATAATTTGAAATAAGGTTTTATTTAGCATGAATGACCTGATATCTGTATCTTTAGAACCATTTCCTCTTACAATGATTAGAGGAATCTGAGCAGCAAATGGCTTAATAAACTGTGAAGGGAATTAAGCCCTTTAAAGAAAACACTGAAGAAGTATGTTAACAACACTTTCAAGTATTTAATGAGCATATGGAATCAATTTAACAGACGTATGAAGTATTTACTTTCTAGTGTTCTGTAAAATCTTTTCTACGTACTTTTCTGATTGAATTTATGCCTAGACTGAGTTAATATCATCAAAATGTTACTTCTGCACAGAAACAATTATTTTTTTATTTTTTATTAAAAACCAAAACCAACAGAACAGGAACATGTGAAAAACTGAACAATTTTAGGTTATCCTTTTCTTTACATAAATGCAGTATGGTTTTAAAAACAGTCTTAAAGAAGAATTTAACAGCAGTGGCTATCCTAGTCTCTAGTTAGCTGCTATACCAGTTTTTCTTAAAGTACGCATGGAAATGTGGATGCTAAATATTTAATCATATATAAACAGCACAGTTCCCTGTTTTTAAACAAGTGAAGTACAAATCTTACATGTAAAAATTTATCATAGGTCAAAAAGGGAAAATACTTCATGTGTGGAGCCAATTTTTCTTTTTTTGTTAGTTTAACAAAACTGTCCAAAAAACCCTGTCCTAGTATCTCCCCCTTTTCTGTCATGTCATTCTCACCTCTGTTAATGCCCATCTGGTGGTGTCCTATGAATCGGTGGTTCCAGATTTTCTCAAGAAGGAGGTGGAGGATGTAATTTATGGTGAATTGTCAGTGCACCACATTCTTTACACAGATGTTGACGAAAGTGTCTTCCTTAAGAATCCACCAGTGCTAATACCTGTGTGTTTTACACACAACACTGCCCTCTTTTTTCACTGGAGCTCAGTTCCCCATGAAAACTGATTTTATTATGCATGTTGTGTTTACGTTAGGTATTTCCTCTTTGTTATGGCTAAACCCAGTTTTACCAGATCCAACATTGCATTCCTGTAGTAATATCTTATTAACCATGGGTGGCACTTTTCATCAATTATCATCCCATACCTACACTCCTCTGTATTACACTGTACTTTAGGTTCGTAAACAGGTACTCAACACACAATAACTATTTGCTGCAGAAAGAAAGCAAAATGACTATCAAAATAGCTGTTATGCCACACAGTTGTGGAAAGCTAAAACTAATCAAGTAAGAGTAATCAAATCACTAAACAATTAGCTAGAAGAGCTTAAAAAAGGCTAGAACAAAGCTCCAGGCAGACAAGACAAGATCAAACAAATTCGTCCTGAGTCTTGCAGAGTTCATACAAAGTTAATGTACAGTATCCTGGTAACTGACCTGAAGAAGGAAAAGACATGTGTCTTTATGTGAAATAGAAGCAAGGGTGTACTTGGGAACACAGTACGGAGGATGATCTTGCTAACGCCGCAGTAATTCTGCTGTCTGGTGTGG